ATAGGCAACAGAAGAAGAACTTGCAAGAATTTTCTAATGAAAATTATAATGATTTTTCCGTAACAAAACCTTTTTATATAGCTTAAGTGTGGCCTTCTCATGTGAATGCCCTTGAATGTATGGCCACGCAATGTACCATATTGTTGAAAGCTTTCTAAACAGCGGACGCTCGTGTAAGGTGACTGGTATTTATCGAAAGCCACCTGCTCGGCCAGGGCTGTTGGTCCGTGTGCCCTGGGCAGAGCACACAGACTTGGAAGCGTTCACCAGAAGGAACCATACACCATTATTGCATGAAATGGGAACATCCTGTGACTTCACGCCTTCAAACCGTATTCTTGAAGTCATCTCTTTTGTCATTAAACATAACAACTGTAATGTTCCAAAGCAGCAAACCTTCACAGTCTCTGCTCAGAGCTGTGCTTTCTCTTGCCTCCGTTATTTATGAGTTTTCAAGACAGACAGCAAAGATGACAAAAGATGTGTTATCTTTCACCTTTTGTCTTTAGAAGAACAAAAGGCAGTGTCTGTCATGTCAGGAGTAAAGTTTAACTAACAGGGGTTCACAGAGTTTACTGACTTTTCGTGAAAAAATCAAATGTGGTTGTTTGTTTTTAAAACCAGAATTAGAGTTAAAAAATTAAGTCAATTATCATTCTCTTAAAATAAACATAAATTGCACTAATGCTACTTGATAACAGTGATGTTATTTCCAAGATTTTTGTGAAATGCTTTGAAACTAGTTGAAAGTAGAAGGTGTGGTCTTGGTGTAGAAATATCATAGGCAATTATTAAAAATACTAGTCACGTGAATAAAAAAAATGCTTTCACAGCTCTATCTGGCATCTGTGTCTTTTGCTTTAACAAATGTTTTTCACTACCACACTCTAAGTATTTTCTTTAGAATTGTGAAATACAGTTCCTTTTTTTTCTAGTGGGATTTCAGGTGCTTTGAGTTTGATTTGATCCTTTGAGGTGCACACACAGGCATGGTACTGATGGAGTGAATGCTTGAATAGCAGAGCAGACACTGCTAAAATCTTGCTTCTTTTAAGCAAGGCAGCAGCAAACCACTTAAATCATATGAAGACAGTTCAGAGGTGCTGTAGTTATGAAGGGGTGGGAGACCCTCATTATAAATGTAACTTTTCAATTATTTTCTGCCCCTCCTCTCAAGAAATGGAGGATCTGAAACTGTTTTGCCAGGTAGTGAGTACATAATCAATATAAAATGCTACCAATACCATCGACTATTTCTACTTCTCAAGTGAGAGTTTGGCAGTTGTAGTAGATGAAGAATTGTGGGAGTTTGTTTCTTTTAGCACCAACATCTATAAATTACTGATCAGTACTAAAAAGAGAGAGAGACCATAAAAGAAGAAGGTAGGGTGTTTTTTTTTTCCTATAGCAAATTTGATTTTTTTAACAATACTGCTTTATAAATTCAATAGAATGCTGAGAAAATGATGTGAAACAAGCACCTGTTCTTAGGCGTTTGCATTCGTTCTCTGGAGCCTGTGCTTAATCAATGTCTAAGTATACCGGGAAGGTACACAGTGCTGTTGGGTAGGACAGAAAGATCCTATAATTGCATGTGCACAACAATCCATTGTTCCTTGTAATGCATATAGTATGTTTATTCAAATAGGAATGATACTGGTGTCAGAATTCCTTCAAAATAAATATTGCCGATTTCTATCTTGATTTTTCTCTTCTTCTCAATTCCTGGGTAGGTAGAACATTTTGATGTAAGAGTGATTGTATGCACAAAAGTGATTCCTTTATAAAATTAATCACCCTCAGAAGATTCTTGAGATGATAATTTAATGATTATGGAGCACTTGCATGTATGTAGCTTATACACTAGTTAATGACAGTCTGATTCGTGTATGTAGGTAAAATGCATATGAGTTGAATATTTGTGGAAGCTTGCACTAGGGTGTTGTAGCAGTTAAAGGAAGTGTGACTGCCACTACGTCGTACACGATTAACAGGTCAAGAGGCTTCTTCCTCTGTTTAAAGTTCTGTATTTAAAGTTGTCTCCTCTATTTCATTTCTCAAGAGAGCTTAGCTGAAAAATCAGTTAAGTCTCTTTTTTCTGTTATTTTGAGTGGTGTTCTAATGATTTTAAACCCTTGGGTAGTTAATACCAGCCAAGATAGCAGCTGGATCAGAAAGTTTTGTTTGAAATCTCAAAAGTTGTACTATACCTGTTGAATAAGTTTAGGATACACTACATAGGGGATAGTAGGAATAAAACATTGCTGTTTTGATTTTTATTTACATATGTAGGTATTTTATATATATGGTGTGTGGAGGGAGTGTATATACGTATAAAAACATCTTTTGAAATGCCTCTTCATGTTTACTATTGATACATTCTTGGTTTGATTTTTTTTTCTTTCTGTCTTTTTTGTTGTTCTTGTTATTTTCGTTTGGGTTTTGGGTTTTCATGAGCAGTACTGTCTGATTATCATTAAGGATTGCAGGTTGAAGTCTTTCCATAGAATCTCCGAAGTAAATGACTAAGAGCTGCAATCAAACCACCCAGTACATCTGTTTCAGGTGAGCGATAGAGCGGTTTATAGAATTAAAGCTACTTAAAAAAAAAAAAAAAGTAAGAATTCAGTTTATAACTTTTAAGATAGCAAAGAAAACAGTAGCAAAGGAAATGTAAACTACACTTCAGAACAGAAGAGAGGGTGTCGGAGCCGTCAAGTAGCAGATGTAGCAGCTGGAGCTGCTATAGATACATGTAATAGGGAAGAATGTGTGTGTGTGTGTGTGTGTGTGTGGTTTTTTCTTTAGGGTGTTTTTCTGACTGAGGTGCTGACTGATACTGCCTGGCAATGGGGTAAAGTTATATGGCTGTGTCATTGGTTTTAGGTTGTCATATAAGATCATATAAGCCTGTCTGCAGGGCTGGATGCTGAGGAACATCATTGGAGTTACTACTGTAAAAAGTTCCTGTTTCTAAGACACTCTTAGTCTGGAAATAATTGATTCATCATTGAGAGTTCAGCGGTGACTAATCCATGACAACAGAATTTACCTAGCAAAAAGTTAGAACTACAGAAGGACACTTACATGTTCTAGCAATGATTTCTTTTTCAGTTCATCACACATACTAATGTTTTGCTACCTGTTTCAAGGCAAAAAGACCTTTCCCCATACCATGAAGATACATTTACAGAATTGCTGATAGAACAAAAGAACACTTCGAGTTTCATTTTTCTGAATAAAGAATCTGTAAAGTTTGCATACAATTTTCACGTGTGGGTTTGCTAGTGCTTATGCGATAGTAAATCAGAGTAGAGAGAGAGAGTGCTGTGAAATGTGCTTCCTACAGCCCTGCAATTGTAGACCATCAAATTGTTGCTAACTTCCAATGGCTCTGCAGCCAGCAAGTCTTTTCTTGCCCTTAGTATGAGGGGAGATATGAGAAATGACTTAAGTAAAATGAAAACCCTATAAAAGAATATTAATATGTGTATTCAGTACTAGATGGTCAAGGTACAGATGGCATGTATGCTTCAAAGAATTTTCTTTGTAAAAAATTTTGCAAACTGCTAGGATGTCACAAGTGAAAATATTAAAACTTGTTGCTAGGTGCACTGAATGCTGTTAAATGGTATAGTCCTAGTCTTCAGAGTTATAAATCCTCTGCAAATTAACTGAGAGAGTTAGCAGCTATAAACCATCACCTTGACATTGATTTAACCATTATTGTGAAATTTTTCTAAGTAAGAAAAGGAAAAAGAAAATGTAAGGGAATATAAGGACTTGGAACAGTGAGAGGTAGGCTCTGAGCTGCAGTGCTTTGGTACACTGGAGATGAAGAACAGGACTTGGCTAAACAGAGCACAAAATCTGTACTGAATTTAGTCTCTCAGTCCAAGACTGGCTTCTGAAGTTTGGGGTGGAAGTGTCTTCTGCAGGAAGACTGTAACACTTGATGGAGAGGGCTGGAGCCAGGGGAAGGGATGAGAATGGTGCATATGGTATATGGGTGTGAGCATAGTAGAGATTTCAAATCCTAGGAAAAGAGACCCCCATCTGAAAATATGTGTGTGGAACACAACTGTTCTTGTCACACCAGATATATTCTGGACCAGTTGTAAAAGGACTTGTGCAAATAAGTAGCTCCAGGCACAGTGATTAACTTAAACTGATTTCTGCTGCTTTTTTACTAAGATGACTGACATTTTAGCTAAATTATGAAAGGGTTGTTTGTAAATGCACCTGCAAGGCTCCTAGCACCACTGCTGCCCATCCATTCACCCTGTTCATAGCATTTTAATGTCCCCGGTGTTTCCCTGTAATCGCTGTAGTTTCCCCTCCCTGCTGTTCCATATCATTGATCCACCAGCACTGGCTCTGCCATCCAACAAATAAACTCTGCAGGCCATGGCTGGTACTCTGGCTGGAAGTATTTGCCAGCTGGCTGGCCACTAGCCGCTGCCTGCCCACCTCTAAGGAATTCAGACCTTTAGGTTTGAGTATTGCGTGTGGGGTTTTGTTATATGTTGCAAAGGTCCATTGTAAGAACTTATTAAAAAAAAATCTGCTTTTTTAGCAGGCCTGCAGGTTCCACAGTTATTATTAGAGTGTTGACAGACAGAATGAAACCTTGTTTTCTGACAAAAGCAGGTTAAAAATAAAAATCATGTAAGAATCTCATTTTTTAATAATAGTGAAGATATGAATGTCTAGAAGTACTTTCTAGCTGTCTCTATATGGGGGGAAACAGAATTTGCTGATGCTCTCCTAATGAATATCAAAGAACAGCCATGTTTCTGAGCTAGTACTCCCTGTGTGCTGTGACGACACACTGGACTCATCTTCTGATACTTCACTGGTATTCTGGGAATACACCATTCTGAAAACAGTGTTCATTTGAGTTTGAGGAACAGTGGGCAGACTGCTCTTTGTCATGTTTGGTTTTAATTTTAATATTTTTTTTTTTCTTTAGGGTGGAGTTTTAATGTTTTGGTGTCAGAATGACGAGCAGGATACCTCTCATTCTTCTAGCTTGCGGCTCCTTTAACCCCATCACAAACATGCACATGCGTTTGTTTGAGCTGGCTAGAGACCACCTGCACCAAACAGGTCAGTAAGGTGGTGTTAGGGCCCCACGCACACATGGTGTTCTACTGTGAAAAGGAAGAAAGATTTTTAACACTCACTATAGATAAACTGTCGCTTTACCGCTGGCTTAATTTTAGTATTGTTTATTGATCATTCAACATGAGACTTTCATGGCATACTCAATACAGAAAGTCTAGCGTTACCTTTTCCTTTGGCTCAGTGCATAAGTATCATAATGAGCGTTCATGCAAATAAACTGAAGTTTAATCAGCAGTTTTAGGATCATATTAATGGAACAAGCTGAGCCTTGTGAAAGAGTATGCTTAACAATTTTGAAACTGAGGAGAAACATTTATATTCAGATTTCATGTTTTTATGACACATTGTGTTTTAATATGAAGACATGTTACAGTTCATGGTTTTGACAGCCAGATGAAACTGGAGAAGAGATGAAACGTTAATTATTCATTATCCCTCTTCACTAGTTATCTCCCCTAGCAAAATAATTTCCTCATAAAGGAGATCAAAAAAGCTAGATGTCAGCAGGCTAGAAAGTTTCATAAACTTGGTGGGTAACATTAGGAACTTAAGCAAGAATCAGAAAAGCTACTGAGAAGCATTGAACTCTAAGCTTGACTACTAAGTTGGTGAGGCTTTTATTTTTTTTTCCGTCTGTCAGCTAAAATGTACAGGTTTCTGGAAGAGGTTGGAAAGGAATCATAGTTTATTGGAACCTGACAGAGAAGTTCCTAGGGAGGTGGTTGAGTAGGAACCTGGACAGAAAATAATAGTAAAAGGAATTTCGCTGTCAGATTGTGGAGAGGAGGGAAGACAATCTGGTAACCCACTGATACCATTGTGCAGTAAAATCGGCAACTACATACTTGTCACATATTGTGAGAATACGTTGACTTTCATGAGGAAGAATTTCCCAGCTGGCCCTGTGGGCTGCCTCTATGAGTCTCTGTTGCCCTGTAACTGTAAAATGGTTTTGTCGCTCCCACAGGACTAAAAATAAAGGGTTAAAAAGGGATTTCAGCTGGCTATTCTCCCTGTAATTTTGTAACTGCTTCTGCTGCCTGGGTGTGCAAGGAGTAGAAAGGCAATGTGAGACCAATTGGTAATTCCATTTAAGTTGTATGTTATAGTCCAGTAACTTATTTCTCTACCTTGAAAGAAGGATTGAACTGGGAAATGAATGATGATTCTGTCTGAATCACAGTTCATTGTCTGGTCTGCTCCAGGGTCTGTCTAACAAGGCTCCACCCCTTACTCAGAGGAGTTTACTTAAACAAGTCTAGTGAAAATCATAGTAAAAATGAAATGTCAAAAGGCTGAAATGAAAGTTGTGCATTACATTGCACCTTTCTAACACCAGTGCTTAGTTCTGGGTAGGAAGTGACATGCCTTTTGACTTCTTAGTTTAATGTGTGGAGTCTTAGTAGTATGAGTACTTCATGCATTAAAGAAGAGGACTTTGTTTGTGTCTGGGTTGCCTACAGTGTTGTCATTACACTTTCTGAGTGCTTAACCCAGGATGTCTACAAAGCAAGAATCCTCAGTTAGTCTGTGGAAGCTTTACCCATCTCGAGTAGAGGTAGCTTTATTTGAGGCAACTATACATGTAGATATATGTGTTTATATGTATGGATACATACAAATCTGGTATATGGTCTTTCTTGCTGTGGTGAAGACAGCTCCTCAAACAAAGGGGTTGGTAATGCGATCGATGCTGGATACCTGTTTTCTGGCAGACCCATTTCCACCCGGGAAATTAATTGCTTATTCTCTCATGGTTTTAGTCCTGTTTCCTCTTCTGCAGTTACCCAGGGAAGGAGAGGAGAAATTGGAGCTTATTTGCTGAGAAGAAGCACTAGTTGCAGACTGGGAGCTGATAGTAGGGCGGGAGGACACTGGTTATAGCTGACTACAGCTTGTTTGAAGCGAGGTAGTGGTTTACTGTATTCACTCTGATTCCCTTCTCAGTGAGAACGGTGCATTTGCAGGCTAGCATACACACTGAGTGCCTGAGAAAGCAGGTAGCATGAGTGAAGAATTAACTAGCATGAAGAACAATGATTCCTAGGCTGGGAGAATGACTTACTTCTGGTGCTACTTCAGTATTTCTGCTCAGTCACAAATCAGGCAGAAACAATGAGTTGTGCAATAGCTTGGCTGGAGCTGACTTCCCAGCCAGGTTTGACTGTTAGGAATGACATGACTATCCCTGCTGTGCGTCCTGACTGGCATCTCCAGTAATTCTGCCTGCCAGCTTTTTGCACATCACTTCAGTTTCAAATGCTGTCTACTCTTATTTTTCATACGTCCCTATTTTAAGGTGGGAATTTTATTGACTTTCCGATACTTTTAAGCAGTATCTGCAGTTTCATTGCCACATGTCAATTCATCCTTTTTTCTGTTAATATCAGTCGACAAATCTTGTCATGGTGCCTTTTAAATACAACAGATGTAGCTACGTGTGACTGAATAATGATTCTCTTTATCTGGCTTTTGTCTCTACTCATGTGAATCTGACTCCTTACACATCCTCACACATAGCTAAAATTTTCTCAGATTCAATCCCTTGTTTTAAAATTGTTTCTTGAAACTTGCGCTGACTGTGGCAAATGCCTTTCCGGTCTGTTATGTCAGATGCTTTTATTTCTGTTTGACTGTATTTCTCATTTGACCATAAAGTCCAAAGAAATAAGACTAGAATCAATCTATATAAGATGTTTAAAACTTTGTTTCCCAAGTATTGCCAGTGGAGGATACTAACATCACCAAGTTTCCAGGTAAGACCAGAAGGGATAGAGGGCAAATGAGGGGAGGGTATGAAAGACAAGATGTTTCTGTCTGCGACAAGACAGATGCAAGGGAGAGGTGAAGGAAAATGAGTTACTATATTATGAAAACTTGGGGAAAATGTGACACAATTAATGGGTTGTATCACCTGCAGCGCTGGGCAGGAGAGCTGAGAAGTCCGAGGAATAATTAGTCACTAACCAGCCTTGGGAATTTAGAAGTTTGTTGTTCAAGTGCTGCACCAGGTTAAAATGGAGTGATGTTTTCAAGAAAGGGGTAGGAACAGATAGTAACACCAGCAAGTCAGCATAAATGCATAGAATTCAATTTGGTTTTGCAACAATTCTGATAACCAGAATTTGAAAACAGCACATAATAACCCAGGTTTGATCCTGCTGTTGTGGTAGTGTATACAGCAATACAGATACATGACTGGAATAGATCAGATCTGCAGTAGTTACTCACTACATATACAATAAATATTGACAGATATTAGTTAAAATTAACTGAACTTAAATGAAAAGCAAATAAATCTGATTTTTATTTTTTTTTTACTGAAAGATTTACAGTAATGCTTGCTTAAATAGAGCAGTACTTGGTTAATTGTATTGGGCTGTGTGGCTTAGCATTCAGAAAGCATTACAGCTGTAGAGTGCACTTTGCAGAGGTGCAAATCAAAGCAGCAAAAGCATAAAATTTAAGACATCTCAAGATATACCACATCCCTAAAGAAAACATTTCTGTTACATAAAACTCGGTTTTCTGAATACTGTTATCAGTGCATATCGTTTACATCCTAACTTTTCTCTGAATTTAAGGAATGCTTTTCTAAGTGGAAGAAGTGCAGATGTCTTTCTGTTCCACAAGTTTTGCTGTCTTACTCTAAAACTCAGTGGGATAAATGGTGGGTGTCCCCTGCTTGTAGTGGTATTTGGGTTATGCCCGGTTTTGACTTCTTTTCTCCCTTCAGTATCGTATTTGTCATAGTTATTTAAAAAGCATGTGTTACATTAGAAACAGTTTGGTTTCATTTGTATTTATTTGAAACACCTTTTCTTTCGTCTCCATTTCTTGAGGGATGCAGCTCTTATCAGTGCTTTACTTCCCTGTTCATTTATTAAAATGAGAGCTACTTTTTTGTTTCCTGATTTGAAGCCAGAATTGCAAAGTCTTAACAAAAAGACCTTCTATTAATGATTACATTATGTTACAGGAGTAGAAAAATATGGGCATATTTTCAAATTTAATTAACATGATCAACCAGATAGAAAGGGTCTTTAATGACTGCTGAGCTGATGTTTGGACCATAGTTCGGTAAGTCTCATTTTAGCCTCCATTAGCCCCATCTTTGTTCTTGAATCTTCGGATTTGTCTGAATCACATTAATCGCAGCTGCAGTAATATGCTATAATTCTTGCTTTAACACAATGAAAAGGCACATGGTTTTGATAAATAACAAGCATCAGATGCTCAAGAACAAAGCAGCGGTCAGTTAAGTCATCCATTGTTCTGGCTATATAAAAGCTGTACTTATTGGAATATAAAATATAATTATATCTATCAATTTTCATAGTTGGCATCATAAATTATAAATGTCTCTACTTGCTTGAAGATCATATGTTCATCCAGCTTTCCATGTTGAATCTAATTATCTAATAGGATAAACATATTGATAGTAATTGTGAGCAGTTCACAGAAGAACAAGAAGGCTGCTTTTTAATTTTTCAAATTGCTGTTTCTGTATTAAAATAATACCTAGATCAAGTTGTTCATAGCCTCTTATAACTTTGAAGTTAACCATGCTTTGAAGAGGTTGGACTAGGTGAGCTCCAAAGGTCCCGTCCACCCTAAATTTTCAGGATTCTTTGAGGACGACTTATTTTTCTATTTTTCTTTTTTCTTTTCTTTTTTTTTCAAAAGGGAAGTATCAGGTGATTGAAGGCATAGTGTCTCCTGTTAATGATGACTATGGAAAGAAAGGCTTGGTTTCAGCAAGGCACCGGGTAGCAATGGCTAAACTAGCGCTGGAGTCATCTGACTGGATTCGAGTTGATCCATGGGAGAGTGAGCAGGAGACATGGACAGAGACAGTAAAAGTATTAAGGTAATTACATTTTTTTCCCTTTCTTTATGAAGTTACCGATTGACAATCTGTCAGACTACCAGGTCAGTGCACAGAATTCACTCCCATAAAACACCCAAGCAAAGGAGAACATTCTGTTTATGGCATTAGCTGGTATGAGATAAACTATTATATCTGTGAGGGATGAAATTTCACATCCCTTTCCTTCAGAAAGGCTGTGTATTCAGTATTCCCCATCTGGAATCTTTCCTTTCCTTGTGCAAAGCAGACAGGCTTTCCCCAGACCTACACAATAATCCACAGTACTGCACTTGTGCCAGTTAAGTAGTTAGATGCATGTGGAAAGCCTCTGCCAAGAAAGGGTGTTGCAAAATTATAGCCACTGCGGGAATTCTGCAGCAGAGTTCTTGGCTCTCATGTTGTTTCTCTTGTTTTTAAGTCTCTAAGCAGGTAATATAGAGATCTTAATCAGAAAGTAAGTTAACAAACAAACCTATTCTTCAGGAGCATACCTGTTCCAGATTAGCTATGTAGGCATTATTGTGCCTTCAGGTTTATCTATTCACACATCCTTAAAAAGTTTTCTTATTAACTCTAATGGCAAGTTAAACCCAAGCCCATAACTGCTGATGTTTTCTTCAAATCCACTGAGTTTGCTGTGGTTTTCTGCTGTAAGGAAAAATTTAACAATTTGTCTAAAACCTGTTAATTTGATATAAAGACCTTGAAATGTTCCTTTTTCCTATATGGTTGGTCTTGGTCAAAATGCATAATGGGGCAAGGTATGAAAACACAAACTTCTTGTGCTGGCTGCTTTTTGCAAATGTAGATGCTACAGAAGTCAACAGATACTGTTAAAGTGAAAGACTTCATGGATGCTTTTCAAGAAAGCAAGTGTGCTGTAAGAGCTATCAGTGATTCTTCATTTCTATGCACATTTTCTAGGTTACTTGCTTAATGGCAACAGTTGTTTGTATAGCTGAAGGCTCTAAAATGTCCATTCCAACAGCTGCGCAGAAAGCTCTTATGGCTCTATGTGAAAGCAGTTAAAAACCAGACCTGTTACTTTACAAAAGCATGCATAAGAATACCCTACATAATTACAAAACAACTAATGGAGCCTTTTAGTTCTGCTTTCATTTGCTTTGCTGAGTGAAAATGGACATCTGTTGCTTCTTTTGCCCCTTCCCAGGGGCGCAGGGGAAGCCCACAGAAAAGGATCAGGGTGGGAGGAAGACTAGGCAACGCTACCCTGTCTTTGCAGAAAACTTCTCTGTTCTTTTCTCTAATCACACTTGTATATTCCAGTGAGAGAAATTGCCGAAAGGTCTTTCTGGCAGTATTGGTTGCGTATGGGATTTTTCTCCTAAATTTCAGTTTTGTAAAACTGTTTTCCTCCAGAGAAGCAGCCATAAATCTTACAGATCAGGTGATCCTACTTAAAAAGGCTTTGGTCTTGCACAGCTCCGACCGAAGTGGGTACTACTCACAAGATTGGGTTTGTAAATTGTAAATCCACTTCAGACTCCTTTAGGATAAGAGGTACAATAAATAAAACCTGGATGTATAATTTTCTGCTCAGGGAAAGTAGTATCAATGTGGTATGAATAGCCAAACTTCCTGTCTGCCTGGAAAGAGAACCTTTTTATAGATTCATAAAATGTTAAAATGGATGCCTGTTAAGGAGATAAATGAACTTAAATTTTTTTTTTCCCAAATGATGACCTATATTAATGAGCTGAACCAGTGCCATAACCTGATGCTGAACCCTGTCCCTCGAATGGGGAAGCAGCTTCCTGATGAAATAGGACACGTAGGTGTTTTGGCTTTATATTGTATTTTAACTATCACATGTGAATATTAAAAAAAAGAGGTGGCTTTAGGGCTAGATCCTTACCAAGTATAAACAGGGAACGGTTTGTTGTGGAGTTGTGCTTCTTCACAAGTGTTGAAGGTTAGTCTATAGATTCTTCCCTGGTCAAAGAACCAAGAACCAATTGCTGCCTTCACTATAAGCTCCCCGAGGTAGGAAACTTTAGTACCAATAGAAAGAGATTTTGCTATTGCTAGGCAAAGGCAAAAAACATTATTGTACCTAAGTGCCTCCTGTTATCAGTATTTCGAATTGTACACTTAACTGCAGAACATTGTGTCCTGAGACCCATGAATGGCCTTTTCCTACAGTACTTCTTGTACCTGAGTGTGATGAAAATGTCACATTTCATGAAAATGTCACATTTCATCAAAATGTGTGGATTTTGCAGAGGCTCCCAAATAGTTATGACATAAAAGAAGTTTAAACAGCAAAGCTCATATTCCGCTTGCGGTGGTGCTGTTAGTTGCCTGTTACATTAAGTGGGTATGGAAATTTTGGAGACTATCCCAAGGCTTTTTTTTAGAGAGGAGGAAGGAACATTATCGATAGAGTTATTTCCCACTTCGCTGCTGTTCCTGAATGTTCTTCCTAGACAAGAAAACAGTATTGTCAGTAAACAAGGAACTACATTCGTTCCTCTTTTGATGTAGATTTGATTGTGATGCAGATATACTATGAATTAATTTAGAATTGGCAAAGATCGATCTTACCCAACTTTTGTTGAATTGTGCTTGTGATTTAATTATGTAGTTATTCAAAACTTCATACGCAGTTCAGAAAATGCTTGATAAACTGACAGATTGGTTTGTCCTTTTTGATGATTTTTTTTGATGATTAAAATAACGTAACCCTCCCTGCCCCCTCACAGACCCCCTTATTAAAATGACGTAACCCTCCCTGCCCCCTCACAGACCCTTTGGCAGTTAAGGTTTTGCAGTGCTTGTAGCATTAGTCCTGCAGTGAGCGCATTGCCAAGGGCTCTTTGTTTTGAATCACAGCCTAAGAATGTCAGTCCGTGATACAAAGTTAGTGTGCTTGACTATACATAGCATCAGCCTGTTTACAACAGGGCAGGATTAAAAGCAGAAATGTAGGAAGGTACAGGCCAAGCTCCTGCTACCTACTCTGTACTCCCAGATGTCTCTCACCTCTTTGTGCAGTTTCTTTGGCCAGTGGCTGAGCCTCAGAAATGACCAGAGATGGTAGTTCTGCAGCCTGTCTAGGTGTTGGTCCCTGACACTTGTGCAGCTTATTCCTGTGGCTAAAAGTATGTGCATGATTTGAAGAGTGTGCATTTAAATCGCTGAACTATAAATTAATTCCTTAGGCCAGGCGTTCAAGGGGTTACCTGCGGCTTTGTACACAGACTGAATTCCGACTGAACTTTGTAACTCATAATCCTTGCTTTGATACAGTTCTTTAAGGCCTGATGGTCACTTTGGCTGTACGTGTACCAGACAGAGATGGGACGCTGGCTTGAGTCTGTGCCTGCCTGTCCTGTTTAACCATGAGCTTGTTTCCTGAAACGATTTTGGCTTGTGCCAATATGAGCCATGCCTAAGCAGGACTCAGGGTGGTGCAAGTCAGGGACTATTCTAAACAGGCAAGGCCATGCTGATTTGGAAGGAAGGGAGCTCAGGTGTTTGGATCCAAGATTGGCACTTGCCCACATGATCAGAGAAGGGGCCGTTACCAGTCTTGCAGTGGGACACCAACAATCAGGATCAGCAAAAGAATAAAGTAATAGAAAACTGGAAAAACTGACAAAAGGATCCTTGCCTGCCTTCATGGATCTGAGTTCAGTAAAATTAAAAGCATAGTAGATGTCAAAAATCTTATGAGACTTGTATATTTTGAGTTCCTCAGAATGTGATTCATTTAATTCAAATGAAAGGGAAAACCACAAGGTGAAAACCCAGGGAACATGTTTTTGTGGAGAAGAGGATGAGAGAGAACAAGAATGTCTCCTCCTGAAAACTGAGCACACATTTTAGCAACATCATCATGAGGGGCTGTATTTAATTAAGAAATTAAATCTAGTGATTGAAGTGTGATTTAATCCTTTTCAAGCAAAAACCTCCACAATATTTTAAATGTAATGTTGCTACCAAAATTTCCATAGTGGTAGAATTTCAAAAAGGAATTAAAACCAGAATGCCATTACAGAGATTGCTTGGGAATTCTGCAAAATGTTAACTACATTGGTACTAATCTCATGGTAGAATGAATATGCTAAATTCTTAACAAATTGTGTTCAGATCCAAATTGCATAAAAGCAGACTGTGTTCTTGAATCTGAAAGTGCCAGGTAATCGCTTTGTGCATCTCTGAGAGGATTACTTCACACAGAAGCCTTTATTTTAAATGCAGGCACCATTACAATGAATCACTCAGATTGCTCCAGTCCAAGAAGGAATTCATGAGAAACAAACGGCCCATAGAAAGATCTACAGAGGATTCCCTTTCTTATCAGCACTCAGGTTGGTTCATGACTGCAAACACGACTCTTCCTTTAGCATTAAAAACACTACAGCTTTACCAGACTAGACTAATTGATGAATAAGTTGACCATAGTAGCTGGTAAGTTTTGAGGCTTGGAGCTGCCTGCCAAAAACGAGCCATATCAAATCCCAGCATGACTGCTGGTGCAGTTATTTTGTAGTAACTCCCACATAGGCAGGACACTTATTTTTGAGTTGTATTGATTCTTGGTTTCATAAGCATCTCTTTAGCTGTGTCAGAGATGTATGTTGTGGCCCTGCAGGTTTTGCAAAGCATAAAATGGATGAAGTATATGGATACCACACTAGTGATGCTGACGCATTGGTGTTTACTGCATTTCTGGACAGAAAAGCCTCTGTTGACATTAGAAGTATGGCAGGTTCTGGAAACACTGTCAGGTTTGGGTTTCCTATTTTATCATATTCCCTAGCCCTGTGACTTGCTAGGATGCTGCTAGATTTTTGATACATTCCATTTTTCTTATAGTATTGCAGCACTTTTTGGACATGAATAATACATTTAAGTTGTCCATGGTTTTACAAAAGTTACCAAAAGATGAGCCATTGTGTCTTTGTAGATGCTAGAGGAAAAAAAGTCTCAAGGCATTTGGACTGCAGTGGAATCTTATGTCTGATAGCGTTAATGATTGTTGGCAAGTGACAAGTCAGATTATTCCACATTATCATACCTAAGAAAAATTAGTGTGAAAGTAGGAAAAAGTATTTTAATTTTACATTGCAAAAAATTATTTTGGCTATTATCTTCTGGAGTTATTTCAAGCTCTATAGCATTTTATGTAAAAATGGTCAAGAAAACAAATGTTAAAGCTAGTCTTCCCCAATAAAGTTTCTCAGAATTAATCAGTCGTCATCACAGGATTCCTCTACAGTCAAAACCAAAAGGCATAGCAAAAACTGGCTGAGAAGGAGGATGGGCAAGAAATAGGTTTGTCTGTTTAGTACATAGTGGCTGATTTTTTTTTTTTATATTTTTTTTTTTAATTCTATCTGGCAGCTATCCACAAAGCCCGATCTATTAGTTTGAACAGAGAAAGGCTAGCATCTTGTTACTTACTTTCTCTGCCTTCAGTGCTTTGACTGACTGGGCAGTGATATGGATTCGGTTATATTAAACATGGCCCGCTAAGAAGGGACGAAATGGTTTCTTCCCACTTGCTTTGGTCACTAGTGTGGTATGATGTGGGGCACAGGGAATGATCAAGAGCTACTGAGAACTCCAGAGCAGAATAGAGGTCCTCCTCTTTCTCATAAATGAATGTTGTTAGCACAAAGTTTGTAACAGCAGGCAACTGTTACCCAATTCCTCCTCCCCCCACTTACCCCACACAAAAAAAAAAAACAAAACCCTCCCAAAAATTAAATGTGTTGAATTGGGGTTTTCTGTAAAGTTTGTAGAAAGGCTCACTCACCTAATGGAAGCTTTCCCAAAGATCAGCTTGATGGCTGAATTTAGCAGTGACAAAATCCCATAATATACTGTTTTTCTACTAAATATACGCCTGTTAAACTGTAAGACTTATTTGCATGGTGCTGAACCTCATTATTTTGTTCCACATGAAATAATCAGGTCACTTTAATATATATTGCAAATAAAAAGGTTCATTGAGGACAGGTATAGACAAATGATTGCTGTTTTAATAAACTTAGAATAGCTTATTGGTGCTAGTCATTCAGGACAAAGATGAAAATTACAAGACTACGGAGTTCGTTTTCTCTGTTTTTCACTGTCCAGGGATTTGCCATCCCTCTTTGACTCAGCAAATATAGCTTCACGTGCAGTATTTCTTCTCTGACTTACAAGAGATGGTTGATTGTCTTCGTTTCACTGGTAATTGAATCCCCTGCACTTCAAGTCTCTCATTTGCCTTAGATGAACAACTTTGTTGTCACCTCTTGAATGCTTTTCCCTGGCATATTCCAACAGCAATCTCCTTTAATTAGACCTTAAATCCAGCTACTTCCTTTGTGCTAACAGTTACTTCTCCTTTAGCTTACCTGCACCTTGTTCCGTGAACAACACTTCAAAGCATTGTGATTCATTTCTGTCCACCACCACTGACTGAGCTACACCAATCAAAAACAAGCAGAAATTTCCCTGATCCAGACATACCATGAACTGAAATAAAAATTATTGTACTTATCAAAAAATGGAGCATTGCAGCAGCCAGTTGGGTTTTATACCATTATCTATAGTGGAAGCTGCAGATCATCATTTAGCAAAGTGCCCTTGAAAGGCGCATTTTTCTCGTTGTCAGGGAAGATGTGGGGGTGTGTAGGGATGGACTGGTAAAATTGGCAGCCTGTTTGTAAAGCCTACAGTCTGTTAATTTAGCTCCTAGTAACATGATGCACCCGCGGGTGCTGAGGGAGAT